GGTGTCAATGTCTAACTTTAACTAATCCACGAAATTCAGTGACACATCCACCATTGTCTTCAGTGAATTAATATCTGTAGTTCCTAATTTTCTTTCTTTTATCATTCACCTTAGTCAATATCAGTTTGTCAATCATAACTCTAATTAAATAATAATGATACACAAACTGTGAAAATATTCAAGAAATCCGCCAATCAATTTAAAAAAAGAAACTAATCATTGATGAAAGACATGTCTATTAATGTTAATTAGTGATTATGTATAAGACGGATAAAAATGTAAATTACTACTGATATAAACGTATGTAAGATTTATGATGTAATTATGTTGAGATGATTGAATGAAAAGTAATGGATGTTAGATCTATGAAAATATGAAAATATCTTAACTCAAATTCACTTGATGTTGTTTTACTTGTATCTTTCCATTAACGGTTAGGACTATAATTGATCATTCTCTTATTGGCATATGTGCATCCTGTGCGGATTGCCTCAATACAGCCTTACGTCACAAGCTTTTTAAGCAAAGATTGATAGTGGTTAGCAATGGAATCCAGTTTGACGCGCGTTTCGTCCTATTTGGTACTCATCAGCTGGATGTACCTGCATCTTAGAGTTGGTGTGACATACGAAATACGGTGATGATATAGGTAATTGCGCACTCTAAACGTGCCACGTGATACCTCGTTTTCTTGGATGTTTCTGAGAAGCTTCTACGTACTGCTGATTGTATAAAGCGTTTCCAGGCGTTTTCTGCACTTCCAGGTACTTTGACGAGGGACATTCTTGGACACCTACCCACACGTGTTGACTGAAGTTATCACAACACAATATAAATAGTAATAGACGAGATTATACATAAACAATATTATTTCACTGAATAAAATATATCAGATAGTTTTAAAACTCAAGATAAATAATGGGTTCCATTACGTCTAATTCTGAGTCATGTCACCCAAATTCTCTTACCATTGGTTACGGTTATCTCATGGATCTCGAACAGGTATTCTACATCGATCTACACGACATAGTCCAAAAGTTATTGGCTTCATGGATTGACGCTACATCTTCATTCGAACTCTCCTAACTTTCTTCTAATGTGTTCCCATACCCATGAATAACGAGCTTCGAGGCAGACAATGGCTAGGTATGCGTGATATATATTCGAAATACTTTAGTCAATGAAAACTCACTACCACGTTATCTGATTTGTCATTTTCAACAATACGGACACTGTTCCTTGGTTACAACTTGAATTTAGGCTAAAGAAAATAACTTCGTATTATTGCATAATTGATGCTGTGAGTTACTTCTTTTCGATTCACCTTTGTTTTCTGTTGTCGTTTTGATTAAGATCACTAATTAAAATTTACAAATGTTACAGAAAATGCTCCTTATTCACATTTTTATCTATTTTACCATAAAATGTAGTCAGACCTTTAGTTAAATAATCAAAACATGTAACGAAATATATATCGTTGTTTGGATCTTTCCATTGATGGTTAGGACTACAATCGATTAGTCTCTTATTGGCATATGTGTATCCTATTTGGACTGCCTTGATATTACTATCAAGTTACAATCATTTTAAGCAGAGATGGAAGGTGTATGACAGTAGAATGCAGGACGTGTTTTTCATTCTATTTGGGACTTGTCAGCACGATGCACTTACATCGTAGAATTAGTCTTCACTCCGGGAATTGAACCCAATATCGTTTGCTCCAGTTACTATCGAATTATCAATTTACCTACTAATTTCAAATAACCAATGCCTTGTTAAATTTAGAAAAATTTATTATATCAACGCTTGAATATAGATACATCCAGATAACGAATCTCAAGTAGGACGAAACGCGTGTCCTGGATTTCACTGTAGGCTATTATCTATCTCTGCTTGAAATGAAGCTAAAAAGTTTCTTTGAACTGTTTTGAAATAATTCTGCCAATAAATCCTCTCACACATATCATTACTTATAGGCATATTCCATGTTAAAAATGTGGCATTTCGTCAAATTAACTTGTGAAACAATACTAACAGATTATTGGTTTGATTAAAAGTTTACTCTCATATGATGCTGCCAATGTTTAGGCTTTCTAATGATGAGCTGAACAGAACAACTTCTTATTTACCCTAATATTGTACACTTTTAGTGAACGAGAATACAAGTACGGACGATCGAATTGCATTATAGAACATCTCAATAACATCTGAGAACCATACAATGAATACTTCATTAACAAAATGTCGATCAATCATCTCTCACTTCATTGTTCTTTCGTTACCACATCAATCATTCTCTGTTCTCATTCTCTTCTCTTTGATCTTCTTAACTTTCCACCATCAGTCATTCCACATTCAATTGACGATACATACTACTTATATCTGTTGACATTAGTAGTACACATCATACACTTACATGAATTTACAATGATCAATTTATTATCATATGATTATATTGAATATAAGCAAATATAACCTTGTTTAATACACAAATGATCATCAGATATATCAGTGAATAATTAAGAAAAAACATAATCTGTTTGTTTCACTAAACACAATGGATTACATAAACTATGAAGAAGAAGAGGAAGAGGGAGAGCAGGGAGAATATCGGGTGTGGTTGATTAAAAAAGGAATGAGAAAATAGGTCAAATAAACTTTTGTCACTTAATATTCATTTAATATTTACAAACTCCCTAATGAGTTATAGTTGAATAGTTTAAACAAATTACAGTATTGATCATTGAACAAGAATGTAGTAACGCCCTGGATATTGTTTATTGGTTGCGAATCACTTTTTTTTAATTTTAATAATATAAGGAAAATAAGGAATTATTTTAACGAACTCAAATTCACTTAAGATGTGGTTTCATTATGGGTTTGTGGAGATTGTTAAGTTTTTGATTGAAATCATGAATAATCGATTGATGTTAGATCATCATTGAAAACCTGGAAGCACTAGATAGTCGTTTTGTCTGAATGTGAGACTCTTTAGCAGTGTTTATCCACGACCCAGCTTGTGGGATTCGAACCCAGGACCTTCGGTCTCACATACGAATGTTTAACCTCTAAACTAATTCTGACAATGAACTTAGATTTGTTAATGCTTTTTTCTGGATAGTGAAGATAAGGTCTATATTTTCAATATTTATAACTGAGTTATTACATCTTTAGACACATAGATAATCTATGTAATAAAATCTTATTGAATTTTTGATTTCGCGTCATAGATTGATCTTAATTAAGCACCCATTTAAAACCAGTAAACATTGGACAACTGACTTGTTCTAGTAAAGGGCTATGCAGCAGTGAACATGCATGATTTCAAAAGGGATGGAACCCATACAGTTTAGAATCAATTACCCAGCATCCTGTAATGTACTTGTTTGACTTCAATGAAATCACGATACCACTCAGTTATCTTTCAGTGTTATTGGTGAGCAACATCATCACACTCGACATGAATGAACTCTATTAGTTACGACTATTCACTTGAACTTATGAACTCATTGCGACTTGTAAGAGTTCTAGCGTTCTAGTGAGCAAGTTATACGCGGTATATCAAAAATATAAGCTCTAGATATAACAATTAGCTTCGAGATAACTCCTTACGTTTCGTAAATCAATCACTCAGATAATCATTATTAAATACATTCCAACAGTATGTAAATCCAGAAGGCAACACCTAGAGACAACTGCAGTTTATTATTTAATAGCAAGGATCATTAAGCCACAAGCACATCAAGCGAATTCCAGCAGAAAAGCTAATGCGCGCTATCAAGTGAATACAGAGACGAATTAAAAGTAGAATAAAGACACTAATAAAGAATTGAATCAGTTAATAAGATCCAAGCATGCATATATATATGGGAAAGAGAATGATTTATCGAGCGATTTAAGCAACTAACGTTTAAGCTAGACAGAAGGTGTGTTCGCAAGCCGTCATATATATAGTCAATAATACATGTTCATACAGACATAATAATAATAATAATAATAATAATAATAATAATAATAATAACACAAACACATGGACAAATTATCAACGAAAAACACTGTCTATTAAGTAAGTTAATTAAAGAGCTTGACAAAATCAACTGTCAATAAACTCAAATGTGGAAGAAGTACTATAATCTCTCAATAGTGCACACCCACAATCATGCACATGGGACATGAACCCACGACCTTCGTTCTCGAGTGGGGATGCCTGACCTCCGGACCACTGAGCTAACATCCACTGGTGTAGATGTTCAGCTTCATTCATTTCATGATATCGCATAACCCTCATCTGTTACCTTTAGTACCAACTGGGTAATCCAGAGGTTAAGCGTACACACGAGAGAACGAGGATCATGAGCTCGAGTCTTTACTGTGTGGTCGTAGATGTAGACTGCTAAAACGTTCCCTACTAGGACGAAATGACTATCAAGTGCCTCCAGGTTTCCAATGGTGATCTAAGTAAAATCAATTCGTAATTTAAACTGTGAAAATTGTACTATCTTCACAAATCCCCTTAAACTAAGAAATATATTTATATACAAAAGAAATTGGTTTCTTACCTGTTACATAATTTTTTTGATAAATAAACATACCGATTATTTTCAAAGTTCTCCCCATATCTCATCAATCCGAATGTACATGTAAATCCATTAATTTACTTACATTTCTAGGTTCTACTTTTCCTTCTGTAACTCTCTCTCTCTCTCACTCCCCCCACACTAACACACTCACACACACACATTTTATATACAAAGTGATTATTTTGTGATTTAAAGTTCTCTGAATAGTTACTTTAACTGCTAACATACATATATAACTTGACCTAGAAATATTTAAATTATCCATCTATTGCGCTTAACTTACCCTTTAATGAAAGAATAGGTTATATATAGTATCTATATATGATAGAATATTATTGATTTTCTGTTCGTTGTTGTTGTTGTTGTTGGTATCATCACTATTCATAATTTACAACGAAATAAAGTTTTCAGTTGCATCTTTTACAATTCATAGGATCGAAAAAAAGACGATTGTTCATTAAAATACCCTTTATTATTATTACTATTATTCGTAGTAGTAGTAGCAGTAGTAGTAGTAGTAGTAGTAGTAGTAGTAGTAGTAGTAGTAGTAGTAGCAGTAGTAGTAGTAGTAGTAGTAGTAGTAGTAGTAGTAGTAGTAGTAGTAGTAGTAGTAGTAGTAGTAGTAGTAGTAGTAGTAGTAGCCCCGATATGATTGATTGCCATATACATGAATAAAAATTAAACAGAGGATGAAATTTTCAATGTTACCGCTGTTATCATTGTTACTATCATAAACTACAAATAGAGATCAAATCATGACCTTGTTTTTCAATATTAATTAAATCAAGTAGAATTTAAGAAGAATTTCAATTTTCATTATATGAATATATATGTAGAGATTCTGTCAGATACCGGCTCAGTGGTCTAAAGGTTAAGTGCTCGCACACAAGACTAACAGGTGGATCCTAGGTTCGAATCTCGCAAGGCGGGATTGTGGATGCGCACTGCTGAGGAGTCTCACAGTAGGACAAAATGATCATCCAGTGCTTTGATATTTTTCATGACGGTCTAGCTTCAATATCCACAAAAACCTCTTCTAATTTTAATTCCTCACATCAATTTATAAACCTCGTTTGACCCTAGTAAGTAGGTAAGTTTTCTTAAAAGATTCTTTCTAGCCTATCATCTTTCAAACAATGAAATGGTTAACTAAAACAAGGTAAAAATTCTCTATGGCTGACATGATAAATCTCACTCAATAGAATTCAGACAGAATATTTAAAGGTTAATAATATTGGATGAAGTTGAGACAGAGTCAGTAGTATATGTCAGTCAGTCAGTAACAACGTAGAACTTCGTACGTACGTGCATCAGTTCAAGTTGCCATGCTACATTAGTGAAAAGATATAGTTGTCGATTCGAATCCCGTAGTGGTAGAGATAGTAAAAGTACAAACAGTAATCGGAAAGATTAGCGTTTAAAGATGTTATTCAAAGAGCATAATCCAGTGAAATGAATTTGAGAAGAGAAAAAAGAGGGGACCTGAAAAATTCAGAAGATTAGAATTTGGGAGAAGACAAAGAGTGGATGCATTTGCGTCATTGCAAAAGATTTCGAGACATGTCATTCAGTACGTGTACAGTAAGCTATAATGTACTTCCATCATATCAGATGAATATAATAAGAAGAAATCAACCTGAAAGATAGATTCGAGATTTTTAAAATACTTCCTCTCTCTCTCTCTAAGTGTGTGTGTGTTTATTTGTTTACATTTGGCTATGAATATTGAACAGTTTAGCTAGTGTTTATCTTAGTTTATCAAGAAAGATGTAGATTCGCTTATTTATTTTGAACACAACTTTTGTCGGTAATGTCAACAAACTACCAGTGTTCCTATGTATCTATACAAATATTCATGTACACATACAAAAAAACATACAAATGATGATCTTTTTAAATTGAACTTACTTACTTACTTACTTACTTACTTACTTACTTACTTACTTACTTACTTACTTACTTACTTACTTACTTACTTACTTACTTACTTACTTACTTACTTACTTACTTACTTACTTACTTACTTACTTACTTACTTACTTACTTACTTACTTACTTACTTACTTACTTACTTACTTACTTACTTACTTACTTACTTACTTACTTACTTACTTACTTACTTACTTACTTACTTACTTACTTACTTACTTACTTACTTACTTACTTACTTACTTACTTACTTACTTACTTACTTACTTACTTGCGCCTCTTACTCCTCGTGGAGGAGCATAAGCCTCCCACCAATACACTCCATTCAACCCTGTCCAAGACAACGCTTTCCAGTTCTTTCGAGAAATTGAAAATACCTAACATTAAATTGTGTCATATTACCTTCATTTACCTTACATATAATTTTTTTCTGATCCTGAATTACAGAGGTGTTGCACCGTTATGTCGAATGATACGTGTTGGCCAAATAGAAATGATAAAGTTTTTTGAAAGGGGTTAGAGATCTGAATTTGAATAAATCTTCATTGATCCATGTTATAATAACACTACAAGATGAAATAGATCAATCTTCAACATAGTTGGTTTTCCTTCAAAGAGTTTGCTAATAAGTTAAATTATAGAGGAAAGAAATAGTAAATAAAACCAATCTAACTGATACTTTCATAATACGATTTCAGACAACAGATTAAAAGCCAACCACGCAATACTTTTAAGTACTAAAATAAGCATTCACATACATCTTTGGATCATTTATGATGATCTAAAAAAACTATTTGATCAACGAAATTGTCAATAAACCCCATCATTATAAAATGTGATGTCAGTCAATCATAATCAATCTACACTAATGGAATCCTTAAAGTCTGTCAATGGAATATACCTGTATTCTATCCATGTAACGATTTTTCTTTTCTTTCCAGAAACAAATCCATTATTTTACTTACTTTACTTACGCCTGTTACTCCTCAGGGAGGAGCATAGGCCGTCCATCAGCACTCTCTATCTAACCCTATCCTGGGCAATCCTTTTCAGCTCTTTCCAGTTGTTATTCAACCTTTTCATATCTGTTTCTATTTCCCAACGTAATGAAATCCATTATTTACTGTACCGAAATTCATATCTTCAACTTATTGAAATCAACCATTATTCAATAAGCCTATAGAGTAATTCAGTATAATCAATTCAACATCAAATTGTAACAATCAGAAATATCCCCATCGCAACCATAATAATACAATACAAATCATACCAAAATATTTAATGTTGTCATGAGTAATATTGTGGGTTGTTTTTCCTTTAATTTTGTCATCAAATAACTTGTAGTTGTCAAGATTTCACATCCAACATTACCATGACCACATACCTCGACTCATATACATACACATGCATACACACGCACACATAGTAACGAGTAAATCATTATTAATGTTTATACAAAGATTTTGTTTCATGTTATTAAATTAAGATTTTGTGTTTAATAGAAACATCGGGAGTAAACAAAATCAGTCAAAAGGAAACAGTAAAAAAAGAACTGGACATTTTTTGATATTATGTAGAGGAATTTAGGAAAAGATGATGCAAATGGATAGGATATACATTACGGAAATCATCAAACTGCATCACGAGATAAGCGCTAACTTGGAATCCTGAGGGGAAGTGGAAAAGAGGAAGGCCAAAGAATTAATTACGTTGGAAAATGGAAGCAGACATGAAAAGGATAAATAACAACTGAAAAGTGCTGGAAAGGATTGTCCAAGACAGAGTTGGATGGAGAATGCTGGTGGGCGGTCTATGCTCCTTCACAAGGAGTAATAAGCGTAAGTAAGTAAATACTAACTTGTATTGTTATTTATTCATAGATAAATGTATAAACATAAAAAACAAGCTTTCACAATGATCAGGTTAATAAAATATTCTTAATTCAGGTCATGAATTGATTGATGGTATACTACCATTGAAAACCTAGATCTGCCATCTTCCATAGAAAACACTTTTGTGAAATATGTGGATGATCTCACTGTATATATGCTGATTTCTACCTCTTTACATCTCATAGAACTGAATGAGTTTTTGTCTCGTATTGAATGTTAGTCTGTTGTTAATGGTGTCATACTTAATCCATCTAAATTTCAAGCTGTTAACTTTAGCATGAGACATGAACGGAATCTAAACACCATTTTGAGATCCCATAATGCTTGTGTTATTGGAGACTCTTTGATAAACACAGTGTCGAAGGTCAATTATCTTGGTGTTACCTTTTCCTCTGATCTCTCTTGATCTTCTCATTTTTTACTATTATCGAAGAAAGTTTTTCCCTATGACTTACTACATAAAGAGACTGCATGCTTTTGGGATTACTCGTCATTTACTCTTACAATTTGTCAATTCTTGCATATTACCTATTATTCTTCACTGTTCTCCATTATTCTTTCCCGAGCTTTTCAGAAAATACTTTGCTGTATTGCGGAGAGTGCTGAAGACATTTAGCAAGATGTGTGGCGAATCTTTCAAGGTCATAATTAATATGGTTGTGGATAGACATCGAAAGCCATGCAAACTCCTGGCAAGTGTTGTCTTATCAGATACTAGCTATCCCCCTTCATTCATATCTTTCTCCTTCTTTATCTTCAGGTAGAACGTATTGTTAGTACATTAAAATCCATACACTCAAGCAAATGTATCAAAGTTCTATAATACTTTACTTAGCAAATATACTCTGTGACGAACAGGTTGTCAGAGTTAACCTAATCAATAACCTGTATTCTTAAATATGTCTCTAATATGAAAACTTATACGGATTCAAGTCATTTTTTCACCTTATTTTGTTGTTTTTTGTAAAAGGAACTTGTTGAAATAATTCGTATTGAGAATTCTATATTGTACCAAAAGATAATGCTGAATAAAGCCGTTAATAATGATAACTACCGGACGTCTGTTTCGTCCTTTTGTGAGACTCATCAGTATTGCAATACAATATTTAATAAAATCAAAATCCTAACATTATAATTAATGATTCTAAGGATTGTTTGCAAAAATTGAGTACAAATGATTAGTAAGAAGTTGTTAAAGCATTTGTTAAGTATGATGATGTTTGCAATTAGTTCACTATATTCACCGTGATATTTTCTGTATTGATAATATTAGTTTCATACGACAATTGATATCAATGATGAATGTTAACCAGCTAAGTAAATGAGGTTCATAAATAGGATGAAATTCTATAATGGTTAATTACATAATCAAACTGTGATTGAGTAATAATTCCTAGATAGTGATAAAAACTATATTTTCTTTATCGAACTTCATATAGTCACATTTAACCTAGTTCATATCAAGAGTAAACACTGTTACAAGTTTATTGCCGATTCGTGATTTACTATGCATTTATCGATTTATAACCATGACACTTTAGATTTCTCGGATTTCTTAGACTTTAACCAGAAAACTCAAACTTCTTAATAATACGGACTAGATTGGGTTCAATTCTAATGTGTAGTAACAATTCCTTTAGGATAAGCTGTCGATAACGGCCAAATGACAAAAATTGGGCCTAAGGCTTCATCCCGGATTACCTTCAATTAGTTAAAATCAGTACTTCTTCATACACATCTCATAGTCATGGTTATTAATTAGACATATTAGTAGTGCATCGATAAAAGTAATCACTCTAATTTCAAAACTGCTGCTTGTCACTATAAATAAACTTTTACAAA